CTGCTCAGACTGGAGTGCAGTGGCCGCTCCCGGCCACCGCAGCCTCGACCTGCTGGGCTCCGGTGATCCTTCCACCTCAGCCTTCCCAGTAGCTGGAACTACAGTCACGCACTACCACACCCGGCTCATTTTTATTTATTGTAAAGATGAGGTCTCACCAAGTTGCCCAGGCGGGTCTTGAACCCGTGGGCTCAGGCAATGCACTCACCTCAACCTCCCAAAGGCGCAGGATTACAGGCTGAGCCACCAAGCCCGGCTTTTAATTTTTTATGTATTGTCTGTAGGTGCTTTTCCACTACAACAGCAAAATTAAGTAGTAACAACAGAGACCCTATAGCCTCCAAAGCGGTATGAGCTGTCAGAAGCATTGTGTTTATCATACTTGGTTCCCACTCACTAAATGGCAGTAGCATCTCCCACCACTATGACAAAAAAATGCCCAACCAGGCTTCCAAATGACCCCTTGGGCATGGGAGATAAGTGAGGAGGGTGGTAGGATTATACTTATTTTTGAGAACCACCACATACTGGTTGCTGTCTTCTTTGTTGGTCTTCATAGGACTCCTTAAGAAATATCTCATGGGTCTCTGCATTAGGAAATATTATGTTTTTCCTGTTGTGAATCTCAGAACTGATCATGTTTCCTTTTGGCTTCTGGAAAAAGCCAAATGTTTGGAAACAGAACCTATCTGTATTTATAAATAGCTGTTATCTTGACTGCAGTTTATTTTCCTACCTTTATTTTTCTTTCACTGCTTTCTACACTTTTTTTTTTAATACCACTCGAATAGATGTATTCCTTTTTTTATTTTATTTTTGGAGATGAGGGTCTCACTGTGTTGCCCAGGCTGGTCTTTGAGCTCAAACAGTCCTTCCATCTCAGCCTCCTGAGTAGCTTGGACTTAGATATGTTCTTAAGTTGCTGTAAATTCTTTTTGAAATGAGATTTAATTAAATTAATTTAGTTAAGCAAGTGTTAACTGAACAAACAACCTCACCGATGATTTTTTTTGAGTCGGAGTCTCACTCCGTCGCCCAGACTGGAATGCAGTGGCCACTCCCAGCCACCGCAGCCTCGACCTGCTGGGCTCCGGCAATCCTTCCGCCTCAGCCTTCCGAGTAGCCAGAATAACGCGTATGCTACCACGCCCGACTGATTTTTGATTTATTGTAGAGATGAGGTTTCACCAAGTTGCCCAGGCAGGTCTCGAACCCGCGGGCTCAGGCAGTCCACTCACCTCAGCCTCCCAAAGGTGCAGGATTACAGGCTGAGCCACCGAGCCCGGCGCTAATGATTTTTATAACCTGAAATTTTCACTGACAAATTCTGCTCCCATCTAATTTGAATTCAGATTAGTAATTATTAATAGCTAGATATTATGCTAAGTACTTGGTGTGACTCACTTAATTCTTCAACAGCCTCATATGATAGATTTGCTGTAACCAATATTCTGTAGAAACTTTAGTTTTAAAACGATTGAGAAGCTTGCCCAAAGGGTCTTACATAGTAAGTGCTGGAATTGGGGTTTAAACCTAAGTAACACAGACTCCAGTAATGAAACAATTAACGGTACCTTAAATTGGTTTTCATTAACATTTCTAGTAGTAGAATTTTTTCTTTTTTCTTTCTATTTATTTTTTGAGTAGGTGTCTCACTTTGTTGCTCAGGCTGGAGTGCAGTGCATGCTCACGGCCACTACAGCCTCGACCTGCTGGCCTCAGGTGATCCTTCCGTCTCAGCCTTCCAAGTAGCTGGAACCACAGGCATGCGCCACCACACCCTGCTAATTTTTTGATTCATTGTAAAGACAAGGTCTTGCCAAGTTGCCTAGGCTGATCTTGAACACCTGGACTAAGGTAATAGATTACAGGTGTGAGCTACCACGCCCAGCTAGAATTTTTTAAATGAAATTTTACTACAAAATCCCAATAATAAAAGATTAAAATGGTATTATTAATAGATTTATTTTTTCACAAGTTGGAACATATACTATTTCCTTGTTACAAAGGCAATTCATGAAGTGAGCTTTTTTTTGATAACTGTTTAGCTTCTATCTTATTTCTGTATTTTTATTTGGACAGTATGGAGAAAATCCTCATTCATACCTTATTTGCATATGACTGCAGTTAAACTCTTCATTGTAATACATGCGTATATATTTACAAATTTAAACATTACAGGGATATATCATATAAAAGAAATTCTCAATAATTCCCATTGCCCGCTAAGATAACCAGTGATACTAACAGCGTGCTTTGCATTCTTCTAGCTTGAAAGAAGAGTAAAATCAAAGTTGACTCACCAACAAGTGAACATGCTGTTACATAACTAAAATCAAAGAACTAAAATTAATAGTAATAGATAACACAATGTGGGATAAGATGTCATTTATTTACTTGTTCCAACTGATTTATGCTGTGATAATAGCACTTTGATCATAAGTGGATTATGATCAAATCTTAGTCTTTCCTGGCATTTAATTTACCATCATACACATTAGCAGACTTATTCAAGGCTAGCATCTCTTCACTGCAGAAATAATTCTTTATAATCAGCAACATCTTTTTTTAAGAAGTTAAGATGTATATACAAAGATGGCAGAAGAATCTGTATCCTTCGATCAACCCCAAACTGGGTTAGTATAGCAAAAAAATTACCAGTTGGTAATTATAAGTAATATGATACATTTTTTTAAAGTGTATTTTTCTTTACCATTTACAAAATATAATTAATTATGTAGTTTTAAGACTTGTTTGTTCAAACAGGCCCTGGAATTTGTAGAATAGAGTTTGGACACTACTGGCTAGGATTCTCAGGGATTGGTAGTTGTTTTTATCCCAGGACCATTCAATTTTTATAAAACCTATTTATCAAATTCTTCAATCCCAAAATGTTTTGTCTTACGAGATATAATTGTAAGAAATGAAATGACTATATGGTGAGGTAGTATCACCAAGAAAGCTGAGTTTTAACTCTACTTTCTATGTTGGTGTAGTGTGAGGTTCATGTCATAATTAATGCCTACTCTTTCTTTCTTTCTTTTTTTTTTTTTTTGAGTGGAGTCTTACTCTGTCGCTGAGACTGTAGTACAGTGGCCGTTCCTGGCCACCGCAACCTCGACCTCCTGGGCTCCGGCGATCCTTCTGCCTCAGCCTTCCAAGTAGCCGGAATTACAAGGCATGCGCTACCACTCCCGGCTGATTTTTTTTTATTTATTGTAGAGATGAGGTCTCGCTGCCCAGGCGGGTTTCGAACCCACGGGCTCAGGCAATCCACTCACCTCAGAATGCCTACTCTTTTTTGAATCCCCAGAAGGGACCAATTCCGATTCCTTCTGTGCACAGGTAGTTTCACCATGTCAATTACTTCTAATGCCTTCATAACAAGTAGTAATAAACCTTGCTAGTTAAAAAAAACCAAAACCCAAACAAAGCAAAACAAAAACTTGGTGGGAAATATAAAGCACACTATATGAGAAGAATTATAGGTAAAAGTGGTATAAAAATGTGCAAATGAGGAAAGTAAACTTCTTCAAGCCTAGATCCCATTTCATGTATGAATCTTTGTCCTTTTTTTCTCCTTTCTTTTTGTAATTCCATATGATTCCAGTTGTTCAATATCAATTCCACTAAGTTTATCTTTGGTGGTGTTATACAGAAATGATCTGTGTCAATGTATTTTGTGTATGTATATTTACATATATATCAAATATATGTATAGATACTTGTAAGAATGTGCTGATTCCCATTCCATGATGTTGCCATATCTTGCTTTTTTAATGTGAGTAATGAATGCTATTTAGCCATTAAGCTAAACAAAGAGTTTAAGCTTAAAACATTAATATTAAAGATGCGTAAAACATTTTGTCATCCTTGACTGAAAGATACCATGATAAATGTTGTGTATGTCTAAAGTAATACTTTTTTTGCATTAAACTAGAAAATTAGTGACTTTTTCACTAAGTCTGATATACAAAGTTCATCTTACCCTTCTGAGAGAAAGTGGACAAGTGAGTAGTCTTACAACATCAAGGGGCAGTTTTCTGACCTTGATGAGTTCTCACCTTTAAAACTGTCAAAAATCAAACTCTTCTTTGTATCTATAAAGCTAAAGATTGCTTGTCCATTGCTTGTCCATTCAAAAGATCATATTCTTTTGTTCTAGAAATGTGGGTTAGGATATGAAACTATAAAGATGGTTTAATAATAGGTTTTAGGGATCCTGGAATGCCATTCTAAAATGTTTTAGATTTGTTAATAAGGCATTGGAGGGACATTGAATATTTTGACTCAGTAATTGGGATTATTCTGAACTAAATATTTTAGAAAATTTTATTTAGTAGGTCATAAAGTATAGGATCCAATTCATTGATGGGAAGCTGACTCTGGAAGACTAGTCAGCTTTTTACTATAGTATTTTGACAAATGGCAGAATGAGAAAGAAGATTAATGTGATTTAACACAGTTGCCTTTTTTTGTTGTTCTTTCTTTCAGGATCCTCTTGTTCATTTATCAGAAGATGTGGTAGCAAGAACTTACAACATTTTTGCTATTATGTTTCGGTATGCAGTAGAGCTATTAACATGGGAAAAAGAAAGTGAATTGCCAGCAGATTTAGAGGTGGCGTAAGTACAACCTATATAGTCTTTGTGTTTGAGGAACTGCTAAATTTTAGCTTTAATACAGTTAGGATAGGGCATAATCTTTTTTCTTAAAAAAAAAATCCATTTTTAGCAGAACAATAACCGTGATTTTATAGTTTTATGTGTGATCCACTTAATTGGTGGAAGTTTCTCCATGTTTGGTTGATTGTTGGTTAGTTGATTTGTAGCCGTTTCTCCATGTTTGGTTGATTGTTGGTTAGTTGATTTGTAGCCGTATTTAACCTGTGTCTTAGTCCTACAACTGGTTTCAGGAATAAGCAGTTTCCTCTACTTCAAGGGTTCCCAGTCCCCAGGCCATAGACCACTACTGGTCCATGGTCTGTTAGGAACCAGGCCACATAGCAGGAAGTAAACAGCAGGTGACCAAGCAAAGCTTCGTCTGTATTTATAACTGCTACCCATTGCTCACATTACCACGCCTTCTGTCAGATCAGCAATGGCGTTGGATTCTTATAGGAGTGAATCCTACTCTGAACTGCACATGTGATGGATCTAGGTTGCTTCCTTCTTATAAGACTCTAATGCCTGATGATCTGAGATGGAGCTGAGGCAGTGAAGGTACTGCTGGGGCGTGGCTGCAAATACAGGTTCACATTATCAGTGAGGTTTGACTGCACAGAGACCATAATAAATCAGTTGCTTGCAGACTTATATCAAAACCCTGTCAAGTGAGTGGCAAGTGAGTTGATGTACTTCTATTGTACAGCTATATCTGGTGGCAGACTTTAAGAATCCAACACTTACATTTATCTGCTTGAGGCCCGCCCATTATTTTATTTATCACTTCCGTCAATGCCTTTTTTAAAAACTGATGAGTTTTATAATTATTTCAGTATATACTATAGTGTAATAATAATAGAAATAAAGTACACAATAAATGTTATGCACTTGAATCATCCTGAAACCATCCCCTCTCCCCTTTCCCCAACCCTGGTCTGTGGAAAAATTGTCTTCCGCAAAACCAGTCCCTGATGCTAAAAAGGCTGGAGACTCTACTTTGTATGATAAAACTGATAGATTAACTCTACTTTTAATTTTGTTTATCATGTATTATTAGGGGTGAACTTTTTTGTATAAGAGTTTTCTAGTTTCAGTAAATGCTTAAATTTGGTTTTAACTATTTTTAACTTTTTATAAAGTTTATTTCACACTTTGTCCCTTTGTAGTGTACATCTACCATTTTTATTTAAATGATGGAGATCACAAACTTATGATCAGACAGCTGGATTTTTCCATAGCCATACTAAGGCTAGGGCTTACTTTTCCTTGCCTCAAACAGCTTTCTCTTTTACTTGAAATGAAGACCAAGCTTGTTGGAATTGTATTCATAGTTAAGGATGAATACAAGCTAGAATAAGAATCTGAGGGACATTGATGGGTTTTTTTTTGTTTTTGCTTTCTCAATAGTGTTTCAGATCATTGAAGTTGTGGGTTAAGTATTTTTGTGTTGTTTCGTTTGTTTTTTGTTTTGAGTTGGGGGTATCACTTTGTAACCTAGACTGAAGGGCAGTGGCATGATCATATCTTACAACAGCCTCGAACTCCTTGACTCAAGCAATCCTCCCTCCTTAGCCTCCCGAGTAGCTGGGACTGTAGGCATGTACCATCATACCTGGCTGATTTTTAAGATTATTTGTAGAGACGAGGTCTTGCTATGTTGCCCAGGCTGCTCTCGGATTCCTAGACCTAAGCATTCCTTGTGCCTCAGCCTCCCAAAGTGCTGGGATTACAGGTGTGACCCACCACACCCAGCTGTTTTTTTAATCAAATGAGGGAATTATACTTTTTTGGAAATGTTAAAAATGACATTACTTCATGACTTTATATTCATGTACTTTAATTTGGGAATCATTGATCTAAAATTTAAGATTAGACCCTTAAATTTTAGAGAAATAATAGTTTTATTCTTATTTTTTTCTGTTGTAGGTTCAGAACCACCAGCATGATAGGGAAAATAATTTAACTTGCTTCTCTTGTAATGTTTCCCATCTTAGTTTCAGTAAACCCAGAAACCTATATCACCGATATCTATTTAGATACAACTTCAGCTAGTTCTCCCTCTACCAAATTATTCTGCTCATTTTTATTATCCTTGTCCATATTACCTTAATTTCATCCTTGGGCAGCATGACTTTCTAATTTGCTCCTTGTAATTCATTCTTTACACTGTAGCCAAAGTGAACCTTAAGGCAATTCTGATCATATTTCCTATCTCAAATCCTGACTGCCCTTAGAATGGCAAAAATCAAAGTTCATTATAAGGTGTTCAAGATGTCTGCCTCTCTCCAGACCAATCTAATCTCATGGTAATCTTCCCCTCTTTCTTATGCTCCAGCTCCCACCTCTGCACCTTTGCTTCCACCTTCTTCCAGCCCAGGGTTTCTCAGTCTCAGCACTGTTGGCATTTGGGGCCAGATTAATTCTTTGTTATGGGGACTGTCTGGTGGATTGCAAGGTATCTAGTAGCATCCCTGGTTTCTACCCACTAGATGCCAGCAACACCCCAAGCCCCAGTCACAACAACAATGTTGCCAGATAGTCAACTATGAGGGGTAGAGGGGAATTGCAGCTAATTTTGATTTGGGGGGCGGGGGGCCTCAGAATATTTCATCAGGAGTTCTTCTCTGAACTCCCAGACCTATACCCTGCTTTGGCATGCTGCTGTTCTTGATAAAAACCAGTTTACATGGAGTTTTATGTTCAATGTGTATTTTCCCCATCAGACACACAGGGACTGCAGATGACTTCCTTATAGATATGTGCCCAGTACCTAGCACATTCCATAGCACAAAGTATCATCTTAGTAAATCAACCTGGAGTAAGATAATGTGCAAATCAGTAATCCAATATATCATTAATGTTTTATGCCACAGAGAGAAGAGTGACACCTACTATTGTATGCTGTTTAATGATGAGGTTCACACCTATGAACAAGTTATTTATACTCTCCAGAAAGCTGTTAACTGTACGCAAAAAGAAGCCATTGGTTTTGCAACTACAGTAGATCGAGATGTAAGTGATTTTATTATATTGACAATAAATTGAATTTTTACTACAGGTAAGTTACCCAGGAAAACTGAATTAAAGGTATGTGTATATATACATATACCTATGCTTTAAAAATTTTTTGCTTGAATATTGACCCAAATGTATATTGCATATAACTGTAAGGTATTACCAGATAGAAAGTTTAAGAGGAAATATAGATATGGCTGCCTTCATTCTACCTAATTATTAAAAATATTCAGTTATGAAAATAGGAATTATAGATGCCTAGAAGAATAAATGTTGTGTTAGTCAAGGAAATATACTTATTATTGGCTTGAAAAAGTTAGAACAGCTTTGAAGGAAAATTTTAATTTACTTTTAATTGATGCGTAGGATGAATGTTGTAAATATTAGCCCTTTGCACTGAGATGTCTTCTCAAGGGACATAAGGAGATTGCTGGTGATTAAACAGGACAAACTTACGCAAGTGCAAATTTTTCCTTGAAGTTTTCCTTTCAAAAACAATGAAAAACCTGTGTCCTGTTTGAAATTTGTCAAGTTTGACAGTTGAGAAGTGATTTTCAGGAATCATGAGTATATCCTTTTACATTGCCTTGGAACAACAGACTGGACAATAAGTTACATATTATTAATGTGAGAGGAAGAAAATGAGAATGCATTTTCTGCCCAAATAGAAAAACACCAAGTGGAAGACATCAAACAAATTTCTTCTGCACAACATGTGTCAGTAAGTCTACAGTGCATGTTGGTGACTGTTTCATATGTTACCACACGTTAGAAAACTATGAGATATAAAATTTTAATTTTTTTGTCATAAATATGTTCCTCAGTATCAAATTTCATTATAAGCCAAATATCATTACAATAAAATAATTGGTTCCAACACTATATTATTTAATATGAAGTGATTCGTTTTTCATCATTTTGTAAAAAAATGAGGTTGAGTTGCTGATAGGCGGTCTGCAAGATGTCTCTAAGTGCAAAGGGCTAAAAATTGATCAGGCCAGGTGCAGCGGCTCATGCCTGTAATCCCAGCTCTTTGGAAGGCCAAGGCGAGAGGATTGCTTGAGACCAGGAGTTCGAGACCACCCTGTAATCCCAACTACTTGGGATGCTGAGGCAGAAGGATCTCCTGAGCCAGAATGTGGAGGCTGCAGCGAACTGTGATTGTGGCACTGCACTCCAACCTGGGCAACAGAGTGAGACACCAACTCAAAAAAAAAGAAGAGAAAATTGATCAGAGTTGTTAAATACTCAAACATGTTTGTTTACTGGTTTAAAAGTTATGAATATTGAATGTAATATTTTATAGATTAATTTCAAATACCTTTATTTACAGGGACGTAGGTCTGTTCGATATGGAGACTTCCAGTATTGTGAGCAAGCAAAATCAGTAATTGTGGTAAGTAGTTTTAAAACGTGCCTATATTATTATGTTTTATTAGTTTAAAACTAGCTTCAGATTTCAGCATTTATGAATGCATTTTTCTGCTTTCGTGAAGTAAAGCCAGTGTCAACCAAAACTTATGTTTAAAGGTAATGTTTCTTGAGCATTAATTACATCATTGCTTTATCTAGTTTTTTTCAAGCTGTGTTGTCAGGAGCAGTGGCTCATGCCTGTAATCCCAGCATTTTGGGTGGCAGAGGCGAGAGGATTGCCTGAGCCCACGGGTTCGAGACCAGCCTGGGCAACATGGCAAGTCCTTGTCTCTACAATAAATAAAAAAATTAACTGGGCATGGTGGCTCATGTTGGTAGTTCCAGCTACTTGAAAGGCTACTTGAGGTAGAAGGATCGCCTGAGCTCAGCAGGTTGAGGCTGTGGGGCCATTAGCATGTCACTGTACTCCTGCCTGGGCTACAGAGTGAGACTTCAGTTAAAAAAAAAAAAAGAAAAAGCCATGTGAGATTGATAAAGAAGATGAGTATTTAGATAAGATACAGCTTTTCTATCTTCCTATTTCTCCATCAGAGCAGTCTTAGAAGGTTTTTTGCTTTTTCTTTGTTATTAGTTAATAGGGTTTTACATTACTTTTAGGAATTAATTGGCCTTTAGCACTATGTAGAATTCAAGGAAAGTTGTTTCTTAGTATCTTATGACAAGATATACTCCATATTCTAATAACATTTATTGTATTATTTTTCTAACAATGAGATTCTCCACATTTATTTTTAAAACTTAGAATTTGTTATTTTTGCTCCATGTAACCACATTTTATGTAAATGTTATTTTTTAAAAATAATCTTATGTATTTTAAGGTATTTTAATATACTGAAGTAGAGATAACACAGTGAACACCTGCATCCACATTATGCCTTATTTTCTTCATATTTATTTTAAATACATAAAATAGAATGAAGGTCCCTGTATTATCTCTTTTTTTAATCTCATTTTCCTTTCTCCTTCCCTAGAGATAGCTACTTCCATTAATTTACTTAATTTATTCCTATGCATGTCTTTGTATTTCATATATTAAGTCTCTGTCAAGGTTATAGGTATTGATTTGGAGACCTTTAAATGTTATGTAACAAGATTCATACTGAATGTATTATACTGAACTTGCCTTTTGATTTCAGTGTTATTTAGATTTATCTATGTTGATACCTGTTCATTCATTTTTTAACATTGCAAAATATTCCATAATAATTATATCACAATTTATCCATTCTCCTGTTGATAGACAGTTAGAATGTTTCAATTTTTTGCTGTGACAGATACTTCTGCTATGGATATTCTATTGTTTCTTTGTTGCGTAGATGCAAAAGTTTCTCTAGAATATATACCAAGGAATGGAATTTCAGAATTTTTAGGGTATAAGCATTTCAACTTCACTAGATTTTTCCTAGTTTACTTCTAAAACTGTGATACCAATAAACAGTCCTATCAGCAGTGTGTGAAAATTCCCATTTCTCCACCTCTTTGTTAAAACTATATACTGTCAATTTTTAAAAATTTTTTTGCCAGTTTCATGTGTATAAAATGGTATTTTATCAGTTAAATTTGCATTTTCTTGATTTCTAAATATCTTACTTTATTGTATTGATTATTTAAGTTTTCTTGAGTACCAGAGCATATTCAATTTAATAATGTATCAGAACTGTACTTTTATTATCAGGTAGGGAACAAGCAAGAAAAATAATAATGGACAAAGGATATGAAAAGACAAATCATAACATAAACTGTTAGTAGCCAATACACATGAAATTAGCATGATTAAAAATCTTCTTTGCAGAAATGTAAAGAATAGAAATACACATGTAATAATAAATTGCTACAGCATTTGTGGGAAACAGTCTAGTAGCATCTATTAAAGCTTTACCTCTCCTGGGAAGTTGTGCCATAGAAATACAAGCACCAGTAGGGGTGTGTACAAGATGGAGCACAGTATAGTATTGCCTTTTTTTTTGTAGTCACAAAAGAGTGAATACAATGTGAATATGAATGCCCTTCTGAAGGATGTTTTAATAAGTCCACACCAAGAATATTACGTGGTTGATTACAAAAAAATCAGTTAAAGCTAGGATGCTAGGATGCACAAGAGTATTTACAGTATCTCATTTTTGCAAATCAAACTAACAAAATAAAACTCTTTATAAATGTGTACTTATGATATATATTAAATATAACACAAAAATATATATACTTGCTGTGTTAATGTAAATTATGGAAATGGATGAAGCAGGGAGTGAAAAGAGGATCTAAACAAAAACTGAAAGGAAGTGGTAAAAACACGTTTCAAAAAAAATATTGATTGACTTGAATAGATATTTCTTCAAAGAAGATATACAAACGGCCAATAAGCACATGAAAACATGGTCAACATCACTAATCGTTAGTAAAATGTAGATCAGAACCACAGTGAGATACCACCTCACACTGGGATGGCTACTGTCATAAAATATTGAAGCCGGGCATAGTGGCATATGTCTGTAATCCCAGCTACTCAAAAGAGTGAGGAAGGAGGATTGCATGAGCTCAGGAGTTCAAGGCTGTAGCACAATGACCATGCCTGTGAATACTCGCTGCACTCCAGCCTGGGCAACAAGACCCTGTCATCTTCTCTAATAAAATGGGGTTGGGGGTGGCAAAGATATGGAGAAATTGAAACCTTTGTGCACTACCGGTGGGAAGGTAAAAGGTGTAACCACTGTGGAAAACAATATGATTCCTCAAAACATTAAAAATATAATTACCATATATGATCCAGGAATTTTGCTTCTGGATGTATATGCCAAAAAATTGAAGTCAGGGTCCTAAAGAGATTTTTTTTATTTTTATTTTTTTTTGAGTAAGAGTCTCACTCTGTCACCCAGGCTGGAGTGCAGTAGCACGCTCACAGCTACTCCAGTGTCGACCTGCTGGGCTCCAGGGATCTTTCCGTCTTTGCCTTACAAGTACCACAGGCACTCACTACCTCGCCCAGCTCATTTTTGATTTATTGTAGACCGAGGTCTCGCCAAGTTGCCTGTGCTGATCATGAGCCTGCAGGCTCAGGCAGTCCACTCACCTTGACCTTCCAAAGTGCTGGGATTACAGGCTGAGCCACTGAGCCTGGTCTAAAGAGATAGTTTGTACACTCCTGTTTAAGCACCATTATTCACAAAATGGTGAAAAAACAGAAGCAAACCAAGTGTCTGTTGAAGGATAGAGAAACAAAATGTGGTATATACATAGAATGGAAGAAAAATTCTGATACACATTACAACATGAACGAACCTTGAGGAGGACGTTAGGCTGAGTGAAATAAGCAAGTAACAAAAAAATACTGTATAATTCCACTTACATGAGATACCTAGTGTAGTCATATTCATAGAAACAGAAAAATAGAATGGAGGTTGGTAGATGCTGAGGAAAGTAATAGCAGGAACTTGTTTAATGGGTACTGTATAGAATTTCATTTTTGTAAGATAAAGAGTTCTAGAGGTTGGTTTTACAGCAATGTGAAGCTGGGCTCGGTGGCTCAGCCTGTAATCCCGCGCCTTTGGGAGGCTGAGGTGAGTGGATTGCCTGAGCCCGCGGGTTCGAGACCCGCCTGGGCAGAGAGACCTCATCTCTACAATAAATCAAAAAATCAGCCGGGCATGGTAGCGCATGCCTGTAATTCCGGCTTCTCGGAAGGCTGAGGCGGAAGGATCGCCAGAGCCCAGGAGGTCGAGGCTGTGGTGGCCGGGAGCGGCCACTGCACCCCAGTCTAGGCGACAGAGTGAGACTCCAACTCAAAAAAAAAAAAAAAAGAAATATATATACAACAATGTGAATGTACTTAACAGTACTGAACTGTACATTTAAAAATGGTTATATGATAAATTTTATGTTTTCTACCATTTTTTTAAAAAGAAAGCATTGATAATGTGATCACACCTATGCAAAGAAGCAGCTATTTAAATAAGTGCATAATTATTTTAATAAAATAGTTTAAAGACATCAGTTTATGCATTTAAGTCACTTATTGGTAGAACAGGTTTGCAAATATAGGACTAAAGATTCAGGTTACTCATAAACTGGCTGGATCTTCTTGTGTTTTTGTATGAATCCTAAGATTCCTTCTAGAAAATTAGGATCTGCCAGCCCGGGCAACATAGCGAGACCTTGTCTCTACAAAAATAAATTAAAAAAATAAGCTGGGCATGTTGGCACATGCCTGTCATCAGCTACTCAGGAGGCTGAGGCTGCAGAGAGCTGTGAGCATGCCACTGCACTCCAGCCTGGATGACAGAGTGAGACCCTGGCCACTGCACTCCAGCCTGGATGACAGAGTGAGACCCTGGCCACTGCACTCCAGCCTGGATGACAGAGTGAGACCCTGACTCAAAAAAAAAAAAAAAAAAGGAAGAAGAAAGAAAATTAGAACCTGAACCATTAAGACAAACAGAGTGTTTTTCTTAATGTGCATTGAAAACTCTCCAGTGGTGGTGATGATGTGATGATGATGATTATGATGATGATGGTGGTGTGATTATATTAAATTAAAATGTTAACTTTTTTCTGCCCATCGAATAACTTTTTAAGTTAGTTTTTTAATCCTGCCATTTCTTTTTAAGAGAAATACCATTAGACAGACAAAGCCACTCAAAGTTCAAGTTATGCATTCATCTATTGTCGCACATCAGAATTTTGGTTTGAAAGTTTTGTCTTGGCTGGGAAGTATTATTGGATATTCAGGTAGGTCTGTAAAAGTTTGTGCTAATTGTCTGTTAAAAAATGAATCCATATATCCTTATGAAACTGTTTTGGAAGAAATATCAAATGGAATAATTTCTTGCTTTAATTTCATGTTTTAAAATACCATCTCAGAATATCTTTATGCACAGAAAAACCTGTTTACACTAATTGTGTCCTATAAAAAATTGTTTTATATGCACAAAAGATTCTCTGTTCAAGTAAATGCAGGAAACAGTGGGCTAAAGAACTTGTAAAGGACCTCAGTATACTAATGCAATATAAATCTCACACACTTGATTTCAAAAACTTTAATAGATCATCCTGTGGAACTCTTTCATTTCCACTGAGTAAGTTGGAAAGATGGTACTGTCAAAACCTAAGTTTGGCAATTTAAATGATAAATTGTTGATATCTTTTGACTTCTGCAGTTTTTGGTTACCAACTATTTGCAGCTCTGAAAATTTGCAAATTGGATATTACTGGTTTGCATTAAAAATTTTTCCACAGTCTGGAAATTAAAATAATTTTTTTTTTAGATTGGAAAATATAGTTTATTTTAAAAGTAAATGGGGTGGGAGGTGAGATTCACCTTCCCAAGGGCAGGGTAGAGGCCAAAGACAGGAAACATGGCAACAGCTATAGCTCAAAGAACACATGGCCACACCAGAGTCTAGTAAGGCAATGGCCAAAATAATTTTTTTTTAATGTAATGGTAACAGAATTAAGAATCCTTGTACCCAAAGCCAAAAATACAAGTCTGATATGTAACACTGAGGGGCCAAATAAGGATAGATCTAAGCTATCTGTCTTACTGCTCTTCCAGCAAGACTATGAATAAATGACATTCTGCTGTTTATTGTAAAGATTTCTGAAAGATTTGTATTGAAAGGCTGTTGAAGGGGCAACCCCTTCGGGTCCCCTCCCACTGTGGGAGCTTTTCTGTCCTGTCAGTAAATCTTGCTTTCTCACTTAACAACAACAAAAAAGACTGTTAGAGCAATACTGCACTGAACTGACAGTTGAAAATAAGAGGTGTGGAAGTTTAGGAGAACATGTTTGTTTGCCTTTCCACTTGTTTTTCTTAGCCCCTTATTCTTTATTTGTTGTACTTTTCATTGTACGCCTGCATGCCAAGTATTGTGCTGCAGTATTAGTAAACAATATTGTGGAAGTAATCAAAATATTCTTTGAGACATTTATCATCATTAATTAAAATGCTTACATTTAATACTTATATGAAGTTTTCTCTTTAGCATTTTAAATGGTTTATATGTGGCAGCTTTTATAATTAAATTTAAAAGTTACTCCATTTTTACTGATGATTTTGCATGTTTCAAGAAGATTGAAAACAGTGATTTAAATGATAAAGTATGGAATAAAAAGGTGTTAAAGTTTTGATTATTTTAATGCTTATGTTAATATTTGAAAAACTTTTCTAAAGTTCAGCATTTAGAAGATGTAGGAATTTGTCTTCTAAGACTTCTCAAATGTCAGGTCCATAGTGTTTTTTTGTTTAATGACTGAAGAGTATTTTGTTTGGCATTAATAAAATGTGCTGGTATATATTATAGTGCAGAGGTCATGCGTCCCTTCTTTTAAGTGCTAGCACAATTTCATATCATACCAACCTTCAATTACCATGTAATGTGTAACAATTTTACTATAATCTGCTTTAATTGGCATAAGTGCTTAGAGAGCAATATTCAATGGTTTCTGGGTGTTTTTCTCTGTAAATTAATTAAAGCATAAGAGGTTATTGTCTTTATGATAAACGTATTTTCACATTCCAGAGTAACAGTTGGCGTGTAATGTGAGATTTGGAATTTATCTTGTTTTTGTGAAAATATTAATAAAGTGGTTAATATGTTTACTTTTTCTGAATAAATTTGACCCTTAGCAAAACATATATAACTTTATAGGTCCATTTGAATATCTACCAAAATGTCACTTTATTGTAATATATGAAGTTGCTATCTCATGACGACTTTCCCTTCTGTTTAAAGATGGCCTTCGCCGGATTTTATGTCAAGTTGGTTTGCAAGAAGGGCCAGATGGTGAAAACTCTTCTCTAGTGGACAGATTGATGCTTAGTGATTCCAAATTATGGAAAGGTGAATCTCTTAACTACTTTTAAGGTATAGAGGAACCTACATAAGTAATTGGGATATAAAAGATTTATTTTCATTTGGGAAGATAATAAATATGCTTTTAAGCATTGAAAATGAAAATTAGTCTTTGAAAAATACGGGGTCTTTTTGGTCCATGATTCAGATTAAGTAGCCATTATTTTTTTTTTTAGAATATTATATTTAGAAAACCTGATTTTATAAATAAGTAGATTGTAAATATTTTGTGCTGAGCAAAACGTGCTGTTTGCTCTTAAGACTTAAAAACAAACTAGTCGTGGTGGTATGTGCTTATAGTTCCAGCTGCTTGGGAACTCCTGCTTGAGCCCAGGAGTTAAAGTCCAGTCTGAGCAACATAGCGAGATCCCATTTCTTAAAAAAAGCAAAAAACACAAAAACAACTATTGATCACATAAAAACTTTGGAAATGTAATTTTTGTCTTATTTGGTGTTTCCTTATACCCTGATCTTTTTCTAAAAGGTGCTAGGAGTGTATATCATCAGTTGTTCATGAGTAGTCTGCTTATGGATTTGAAATACAAGAAACTGTTTGCTGTTCGATTTGCAAAAGTAAGTGGTTTTTTTCAATTTTGAAGTTGAACAGAAACAGGTTAAATATGGGGTAACTATGCCCATGGCTATTTCTGGGCTTCAAAAAATTAACATCTAATAGTGATATATGAATGTGTTAATTTTAAATTCTAAGAAACTTCATAAATAATCTTTTTATCTTTTATCAGTAGAATAAAATTTTATCAGTGAGATTTCCTTTTCCTCACTTCCCATGAAAACACAAGTATCCGTCTACACATTGTTTACGAAATGATAAATGAAGAATTTACACCTATGCCATTTTGATTGTTCCTGTTAAAGTTCATATAAGGAAACAATAATCTTAGTTGAAATGACATATATATAAGGCTATGATTTAAGAATCATGAACTCCAGGTTGTTGATGTTGTTGAATTAAGTTCTTTTCCCTTTCAGCAGCATATGATTAAACTAACCACTTTATTTTGTATTCACCTGAATTAGGGGTTCTTAACCAAGAAAGCATATAAGAATCACTTGGAGAGCTCTTTCAAAATACATGTGTTGTGTTCCATTCTCAAACCTACTGAAGCAGATTCACCAAGAACGGGGACCCAAACGTGTATTTTGCAAGACTTAGATGATTCTGATGTGCATCCAGAAGTAACAAAATCTTTTTTTTTATCAAAACAGTGTAATGTTGCTGGGATAGTGCCCCCAGTGTGCAATGGCACCTCAGGATTTTAGTAACTGTTACTCCCTGTTTGGGGTAGTAAACTGCCATTGTGCTCCAGAAGAATCAGTATTTAATATTTATACAGGATTCCACAGTGAATCAATATTTATCCAGAATTTAATTTTAAGATTATTCTAGTTAGTGTTTTCATAGCAGTGTTATCTTATTGACTTCCTCCAGCACTGACTTTTCATTATAATCCTTAAGCATTTGGTCAATGTGGATTAGAGGTGAATCTCCCCCTTGTTGTTTAGAATTACCAGCAGTTGCAGAGAGATTTTATGGAGGATGATCACGAGCGAGCAGTGTCGGTGACTGCTCTGTCTGTCCAGTTCTTCACCGCACCTACTCTGGTGAGTAGTGCTTGCCTTTTCTTTGTAACTGATAGCTGGCACTCCTTGCCTTTTTTTGCCTTCTTAATAGAACTATGAGCGTTTGCAGAGTGATTATGTGACAGATGACCACGACAGAGAGTTTTCAGTCGCAGACCTCTCGGTTCAGATATTCACAGTTCCTTCACTTGTAAGTACTGAAAGACTAGAAGAACTTTCTTGTTTTCCATTAACAGATGTAAAGCCTTAAAATAATAGAGAACATAAATCTGTATATTTCTATTCCTGAATAGAATAATATTTTATTAAAGGACAGTCAGACTTCAGACACCACCTTTAACTATACTAGAATATATCTTTGAATATGAAAGTAATCTGGGAGGGAAATCATTTTAACTTAATCAACACTTTCTCTTCAGAGTATAATGGGGGAAAAAAATCTATGCTTTCTCTTGGTACTTTCCTTAGGTTTTGACCTAATGAGTTAACAGTAAGCTGATTGGTTTAACAAATGTACCTTTGACATTAGTATCAGACAGCATATTGTATATACCACCTAACAATTTGAGAAGTCTTCCTCCCCATCCCAATCCCAAAAGGGAAAGGGTAGCTATGGCAATTGAATCACGATGACTGGGTGGCCTTTTACTGAGCTTCACTGGTTGCTTCTGAAGGCATCAGTTTGTTTTAGTACTATACAGTAATTGCAATTCATATTTACTTTGTTCACATTTATGAAGCACTGATGTACTGGGCATAGTTCTAGGCTTTGAGAATGTAATGGTGAATAAAAACAGATGTAATGCTTATCCTCATCAAACTTACCATAGTGGGAAAACCTCACATAAATAGTTAATTAAAATTATATTGAAAACTAAGAAGGGTTTGGTTGCTTTGAGAGAGAATAATAAAGCTGACCTTTTCCCATAGTTCAGAGATGGATTCTCTGAGGAAGATACCTTTATGTGGGACACGAGGGAGGGTCCATGCAAGTGTTTCAAAACCAACACTAGAAAAAAATTCTGGAGTAGGGAGAAGTATTATCAGGGCAAACAGAGGAAAACCAAAACACTTGAATATCCTTGAACATGGGGTAAAAATGTATAGGTCTAAGAGCATTTTATAGTTACTCTATTAACAAGGCATATTAAAAATGACTGAATTTTTTGTTGGTTTTTTTTTTCCTTCAGAAAGCAGGATTTATTAAGAGGACAGAAAAGTGGGAGGGGACCTGAAGGGGTTGTCCAAAAATGACTTGAGTTTTACCCCCATATTACTTTTATGATAAAGAATAGATTCTAATACTGAAGCTGTCTGAAGTCTACTTACCCATTAATGAGCTATTTTATAGACCAAATTCAGGATTTGAGTTTTATCTTAAGAATGTGGGAAGGCTTTGAAGACTTTTAAGTGGTACTTACATTATGACATTTGTGATTTTAAAAGATCATGCTGTTTGTAATTTGGAGAACAAATTGGAGGGGGCAAAAGTGAGTGTGGGGAACTTAATTAGATGCTAATACAATGCACAGACAAGAATTGGTGGTAACTTGAACTGGGGTGCTAACAGTGGATTGAAGAACTTTGGGAATATTTTTAGGTAAAATCTATAGAATCGGCCAAGTGGGTTTGAGAGATATTAAATTTGGTGACTAATTGAATGTTGGGTTTGAAGGAGAAGTAAAAGAATAATTCCCTGGTTTCTGACTTGGTTTCTGAGTGGATGATGTGTCACTTGCTGGGAGATGGGGAATTTTGAACACGAGAATTTGTGAAGAGGGAAGGTGAAGCTTTCAGTTTAGTCAGGGTTGAGTTTGAGAAGCCTGTGAAGGAATCCTATGTGTATTCACATCTGAGTTTCCCTCCTCTGTTGATCTTTGTGTCCATTTCCATGCCAGTGCCACAGCTGTAATAATTATTTACAGCTTAATATTCTATTTTGACATCTTACAGAACTTACAGAATAAATATCCTTTCATTATTCTTTTCTAAAATGTTCTTGCTAGTTCTTAGGCCTTTTTTAGAAAGATGAACTAAAATCAGTTTGTAAATTACCAAAAACTTCACTGAGATTTTGACTAGAAAGACATTGTATTTGTAGATTAATTTGCGAAGAACTAATACCTTTGCAATATAGAATATCCTGTCTAGGAATATAATTTATCCTCATCCAAATACTATTTCATGTTCCAAGTGAAACTATCATAGTTGTCTTGTTAATCATTTTTAAATTAAGCTCATGTGTTTGATGCTATAGTAAATTTTTACATTTTTAAACAGGCGGTGAATGTTTTAAGTAGGAAAACACTGATTTTTTAAAAATATAGATCCATCTTGTATCTGTCTGGTCTATCTGGATATAGATGTGTTCAGACTAAATAGATTCTGCCAAACTCTTTTCCAAAACAGTTGAACCAATTCACGTTCCATTAATAATATGTGAGAGAGACAGTTAGTTGTTCCACATCCTCACCAACACTTGGTTTTTATCAGTCTTCTAAAATTTTGTCTATTCTAGTTGGGGTATAGTAGTTTCTCATTATGGTTTTAGCTTGTACTTTTTTTTTTTAGCAATAATGAAGTTGAATCCCTTTTCATATGTTTATTGGCCATTTGGAAATACTTCTCCATGAATGCTTGTCACAATTTTCCCAGTTACCTGTTGGGTTATCTGCCCTTTTCTTGATTTAGATGAGTTTTTTTTATATAGTCTACATGCATATCCTGAGTCGAATATGTATATTAAAGATTTTTTTCTACTCTATGGCTTGTCTTTTTTTCTCCCTTAATATTGTATCTCTTTATGAGCCCCAAATTTATAATTTTAATGTGTTCTCTTTTATCAGTTTTTCTTTTATAGTTAGCACTTTCTGTATTGTTTCAACAATCTTCAATATTCCATGGTCACAAAGATATTTTCCCATGTTTTCTTCTAAAAGCTTGCTTTTCACATCTAAATTCCCAATCCATCTAGAATTGGTTTTTGTGTATAGTATGTCTTGATAGCCCCCACCCATATAGTTATATAGCCAAGCACTGTTTATTGAAGAAATCATCCTTCCTTTTGTTGCATTTCAGAAGCACCTTTGTCATAAATCAAGACTTTTGTATGTGTGTCTGTCTTTTGTTCCAGTGCTTTTCTTACCTGTGTGTTAGTACTGTGCTTCCTTAATTGTAGTAGTTTTGAGTCTTACTATCTGGTTGTTAAACCTTCTAGCTTTTATTCTTGCCTGGACCATTCTTGATCCTTTGTATTTCATATGAATTTAGATTCAGCACATCAGCTTACACACACATGCACACACACACACACACATACACAAAAATTCATGTTTTTTATTGAGATTTGGGGAAGAATTGAGTCTTCTAGCCCATGAATTTGATGTATTGCTTCATTTATTTAATTTTTTGAAGAATTTCTCCCAATAATGATTTATAGTTTTCAGTATAGAGGCTTCCCATTCATCTTTTGTTAGATTTATTCCTAGGTGTTTGTGGGGTTTTCTTGTTGTTGTTTTATGTTTTGATGTTATGGGAAATGATATCATTTTTCAAAAATTTACTTTGTATTTGCTGTTATGTAGAAATATATGCATTTCTTAATTCCTTAATGTAGAAATATATGCATTTATTAATTCTAATAGTTTTGTAGATTCTTTTGGGTTTCTGTGTACATACTTATATCATCTGACATCTGTGAATGGTGGCAATTTTAGTTATTATTTCATTTCATTTTCTTTCCTTATTGTACTGCCTAGGACCTTCAGTACAATGATGAATACAAGTGGTGAATAAAGCAGGAGTCTTTGTCTCGTTTCTTATCTCAGGGGAAAGCTTTTAATATCTCACCGTAAAGTATGATGTTTTACTTTGGTCTTTTCATTTGTTGTTTGTAGAAACTCTGTCAGATTAAAGAAATTTCCTTTTGCTGTAAGGTGCAGTTAATGGTGGTGTTTAAGAGACAAGATTCTCACAGTGTTGGTTAGGCTGACCTCAAACTCCTGAGCTCCAGCGATCCTCCTATCTCAGTGTCCTGAGTAGCTGGGACTATGGGCACATGCCACTGATCCCAGATTGATTTTTATTTGTTTTAAATCATGAGTGGGTGTTTAATTTTCATGAATTCAGGAAAAGTACTGCATGACATGATCATGTGGGTTTTTTTCTCCTTTTGCCTGCTAGTAAGGTTATTTATGTAAGTTGATTTATTTCACATTATATTAACCTTGCATTAAGGAAGTAAACCAAACTTGGTTGTGATATATTATTATTTTTCTTTATTGCTTCATTTATTTTGTGTACCTTATTTGTGAGATTAGATGGTAGTTTTCTTGTATGAAGGGGACCAAAAAAAATCTAATTTTTTTTTGGAGAATCAGTCCCTTATAGTATAGTCTTCTCCAGCTAGATAAGTGTTCTAGGAACCCATTGACTTCATTGTATCAGCTGGCGTTGTTGTGAGAGGCTGTATTCGGGTTCACTGAATTTTTTTTGGAGATTCTTTCAACGCATTTGTCCATTTCATGATTAGTGATTTAGGAGCGCACCTGCCCACGCTGCGCTGTGTGTTCAGTAATTTTTTACCAAAAACATCATGATTCCGTGCTCTGTTCTCCCACCTCATCCAGTCTCACCCCAATCGGCTTTTTTTGTTTCCCCATTTGAAAAAAAGTCCTTTAAAGGAAAACATTTTGCTGGTGTGGAAGAAACGGCAGAAGCACTAAAAGGCATCAAAATGGATGAGTTCAAAAACAGTTTTGAGCAGTGGAAGAAGCATCTTTGATAGGTATATTGTGTCAAACAGAGAGTACTTTGAAGGTGACTGAAACTTAAATATATAAGAATAAATAAGCTGGGCTCGGTGGCTCAGCCTGTAATCCCAGCGCTTTGGGAGGCTGAGGTGAGTGCATTGCCTGAGCCCACGGGTTTGAGACCCGCCTGGGCAACTTGGCAAGACCTCATCTCTATAATTCAAATATTAGCCGGACGTGGTAGTACACGCCTGTAGTTCCAGCTACTTGGAAGGCTGAGCGGAAGGATCGCCGGAGCCCAGCAGGTCAAGGCTGGGTGGCTGGGAGCGGCCACTGTACTCCAGTCTGGGCGACAGAGTGAGACTCCAACTCAAAAAAAAAAAACAAAACATAAAAGAGAACTCTTTAAATTGGAAAATATATTGTTTTCTGGAAAAAT